AATCCATCATTTTTAGCTCAGCCAGAATAGATTTTTTTACAAAGATGCACAAGCACTATGGGCTTCCAGGAGAGATGCTTAGCATATGTCTACATGAGAGGGTTACTTCAGAATAAAGGAAAGCGTGGATTTAAAATGCTATAGCTATTCTTGAATCATACCCTAGAGGAGTGCTCCTATTACAAAATAAAAAAGATTTTTTCAGAGTTTTGCTTAATTCATTTCCCAGGTGAATTAAACTAAATCAGACAAAGGTATTCTTTCCACTAGCACATAAGTGTCAACAATAGGCATTATCCTGGAACAGCACAGGTACTTAATATCCACCGGTCAGCAAGTGTTACTTTTCCAAAGACGCACAACAGGAAGAGGGAGCTTGAGCAAAACGTACGCAGGAACAGTGACACTGTTCAGAGAACAGTGGCAGAGAACGGCAGGCAAGGGACCTGGTGCAAGAAGGAGAAAGTGCTGATGGCCCCCAGTGCAACACCACTGCTTCTCAGCCTTGCCACCCACTCCGACCTCCAGTTCAGTGGCATTAAGCCACCGTTCCCATCTCCCACCAGCACATACCACACTCTGAACTGCCACAGACCAGAAGGGCTCTCAGTGCTCCATAAACTCAGCAAGGAATTGCAAAGTTTTGCTATCTGTCACTTACATATACAGAGCTACTACTTCCATTAATTTGAAGCTGACTGTACAGTATTTGCTGTACGCTATAACCCGCTGTCTACTTGAATAAACAGCAGTTGGAAAATTTTCTAGAACTAGTGTACGTAATAAAATGTACATGAATGCATAGATCACTGCACAAGCAAAACAAGGAATGCCTGTTCTGCTCATAAGCCAAATGCTAATCTTGAATATGCAATAGTACCTCTTATGTGTGTGATTCCATTTCCATCTGCGGATGTCTTGCACGTGCAGACACTACAGACACAGTTATGACAGCACCCCAAATAGTCTCAATCAAACACAAAGATGTGCATTGGCAGTAACAGACAGGCTAATAGCAGAGCCACAATCTGACCCTGCCTACCTAGACAGAATGTTTGTTCCTGTTGCCCCAAATATCAAACTTAGTGTTGTGATGCCTAGAGGAATATGAAGACCTACTGTACCAGACCTAGTTTTAATTTGCCATAAAGCTAGTATCGATAAGCATATTTCTAGGAGCATCTCCAAATTAGCAGTGTGAGAGTCCCAGAGAAGCCAAGTTCAGGATTTACTTTCAATATGAACTTAATTTCTACTGAAGGCATCGATTTGCAGAATAGGGATTTAAACTGAGAAGTACTCTTATCTGAATGTTTGGGAATAGATCAGTCTCTGGATACAACCAGGCCTCTACTACTGAAAACAAAGCCAAAAATGTGTTGCTGCTGAACGTTGTTGCTAGTTGATGTGATGATGTGAGAAGTATCTGTGGTTTTAGCAATAATGCATCCCACAGGAGAGTCTATATAGGAGCCAAGGGCAGAACAGGCATGAGACAGAACCGCTCATACAGCTAAATCAGAAGTCCTTATGGAGAAGGACTGAAAGACTCACTAGCAGAAATCTCCATGCTGCTATTAATGTAGTCTACAGGTACAGGGCCTTTTGCATCACAGTGGCTGCAAACCAGATACAGGTCACCCAAAATGTTTTTTCACAACTCCATTCACAGGTATATCAACAATACAATCATTATCTGATGTTTACCTCGAACTTAACAGTATAGGAGCTATCTATTTCATAATGCTGACTAGGAAGCCAAAAGCAAAAAAAAATTCTGGACTGGCAAACCACACCTCTCAAGCAAAGGGGAAAAAGGCATTAGCAGAGAAAATAAATTAACTAAAAATAGGTAACAAAATTAATTACCATTGCACCATCAAGAAGGGAAATATCTCTGCACATACAATACAATCAGTCGGCTTACAAATTCTGAAACTAAGATAACAAGTGAAGTACCTGAAAGATGATACAGGACATTGCTGTGCTAAAATACTCGCAAGGAAATACACAAAGGACTAGGAATGAATCTCTTGCTCTGTATTGCTATGAATTACTTGCACTTTTGTGGTGCCTTGGAGACCCATTAAGCCCCATTTTGCAAGGTGCTGCTCAAACAACCAAAGAAGCCTGCCCCTGCACAGACTAAGACAAGTATCTGCAGACCTCAGAAGTGGAGCATAAGAAAACAATAGGCTAGAGTTAGCTAAGAGTAAAAAGGTGTGAGGTCTTAGCATAACAATAACAAAAATCTTGCTAATATTTTTGCTAGCCTCGCAACAGAGCTGCACAGTACTCTACAACTATATTCAATATTTCAGTATTTTTCTTTGAAGTATCACGCATTAGTTTCTGTCAGAATCAGGAGTGGTCTAAGGCTCTGAGTCAGCACAACACACGAGTATGAATCTGACTTTAAACATGTGCTTACATCCTTATGACTTGTTTGCATTAAAGAAAACATAGATAAGAGGAGGGCAAAGGGCTTGGTCAACCTGTCATTCAACTTAAGTGCACAAAGTGCTAAATAGTTTGGCATAAGTCACCTACTATCAGGATAACTCTTCAGACTGGAGGAACAAAGGCATGTAAGTAGCTCACAGCACTCTATGCCACCACTGTTGTGGTCCGCGTTTCCATGGTCCTTCCTCTCCTGTGATTTATAATCCTTTTGTTGGTTTACATCTTGACTGGCGTAGCCCCCACAGTGCCATGCTGGGCACAGCACTACACCTTTAGGACTGTTGCAGGAGTATACACCTATCTCCTGAGGCATGTTTACCTTTTGAAGAAGTAGCAAGAAGATTTCTCCTCCAGCAGGCCCAGCCCACAGTGACCCCTTTACAGGTGGAAGCTTTCATTTTAATTACACATTTTTCAAGAACACAAAGTCCAACCTTAATGGAAAAGGAACAAATGCAGCCAAAAAGAGGGAATGTATTTTAGCAGCCTGATTCAAAGCAATAGACCACATCTGGAGTGTTCAGGCTCATGGTAGCATGGGGCTAGTACCTGGAGAATAAGGTCAGTTGGAGATAACAATAGGAGATCATTCCCATGGACTGCCTCCTTATAGCACAACATCATCAAATACAAAGACTATGCAATGTTCAGCATCACTCTGTCAGAGCGGAAGAGATAAGGAAAGATTCAGTCACCACATATACATCAAGCATGCTTCAGCACAAGATCCACCAGTAAAGCCAAACCAGCTCAGCAGGGCAACTATTAGGACACTATCGTCAGCTTCTGGTTCACTGAAGTTATGGCCTAGCCTGCCCTATGGCCTGAGCACCGCCCCATTTTTACCAGTAGGTTATTGTAGTCTTTACTGCCCCAGGTTTCCAAATGACACAAACCAAACATTCACGCATAGCACTATGAAGAAAACTCCAGTGTAGTTTTTCACTGAAGAAGAACAATGTGTGTAATGCTTCCAAGCACAGCTACAATTTGTTCTATTTATTTATCATATCATTCTTCAAAGCAGGGCAGAAAATACTTTCAAGGGAGCCAAACCTACTCTCACAAAGATTTCCAGCACTTCCCCTATTGCCATGAGCCAGTCACAGACAGCAACTTGCACACACAAGTCTTGTGGGAGGGAAGGGGATACTGAGGCATAAACAGGCAGCTATAACCATCAACAAATTTTCCTTAGCAAAGCCAAAAGGGAATCCAGGCTACCTCAGCAACAGTGTTCCTCCAAGCACAACCTTTCTCTTCAATGGACAACACCAAGTATTTATGGAAGAGGCATGGATATATTTCTCCTCTAGGACCAAGATCTCACATAAGGAAAGAGCACAAGCATTAGCAAGCAATACTCTAAAAGACACCATTGTAAGCATCCAGTGACCAAAGATTACAATGGTCGGGGTTCGATAAGCAGATCTACTCAAAAGCCAAGTAGGAACTGAAACCCAGTTAAGCTCAAAGCAGTAGGGTTAGCACTGTAACTTCTGCAAATCTTAATAATAACATGGGGTTTCATTCCATAGGCATTTACCCAGTGTTGTAGAAAGGGAAAGTCAGACTCGTGAGACATGTATAGCACAAAAGAAATTGCAGAGGCATCATTTAAAAAGCTTCAACAAGATCACCCTAAAACTCAGGGGCAGTGCTACACCAAACCAAGGCACTCATGCACTTATTCTCCTCTTCAAAAAGTACGCAGGTACAGCTGAAGATCAAGCATATCCTTCATCCCTCCACCTCACTGCACTCGCCATCCTGGTGCAGTGCTCCCTCCCCAACAGGCTGGGAACTGAGAGAAGTGCTGGGAGTCTCCGGACCCCCTATCAGGAGCAGCTGGGGATTTCCCTTTGCTTCTAGGGGCATCCCCACTCAAGAACACATTTGACACCCTGCACCAGAAAAACACTGCAACATTGCTACTACAAACACAAGGTATAGGGAGCTCTCACAGTGGCCCAACCCCAGCCCTAGAGTTGTGTGGGGCCATAGGCAGCCTGGGAAAGGTTATCCCTATCCTGACCCAATGGCAATGGAGGCCATGGTTGGGGGTCCCACGTGGAGAAGAGGGACCTGTGTGGGTCGCAGGTGGGATGGGGGACACTAGTGAGGGTCATGTGTGAGGTATGGATCCCTGCGGGGAAGACAGACCCCTGTGGGGGTTCTGTTTGGGTGGGGGCTGCAGGTAGGGTGTGGAACCTGCTTAAGCATGGGGGACACCGGTGGGATGGAGGCCTTGGGTGGACAGGGGTACGGACTGGGGCTGGTACCACGGGTGGGGAACCTGGGGTCGGCCGGGACCCGCGTTTGGGGGATCCCGGGTTGACGGGGACGCGGGACCGGGGGATGGCCGCTGGGGTCAGCACCGCGGACAGCGCCCGGTCCATCCCCGCCACCTGTGAGCGGCGCCGGCGAGGCGGAGGAGGAGGAGGAGGGGAGGAAGGCGAGGAAACGGGGCCAGCCCGGGCCGAGCGGCGCCCGGGCGGGAGGCGAGGGCGGCGGGGACAAGGACGCGCGCTCCCCACCTGGGCTGTGGCTGGATCTCAGGCGCCTTCCACAGAGACACTGCAGCATATGCGAGCCTTTCTCCAGGAGAAGCCCGAGAATCCTCATGGATTTCACTTTGTGGCGCCCTCCCGCTCCTCGGAAAAGGGACCGGCCCCGGAGCGGCCGGCTCTCAGCGGCGGGGCTCCGCCCCCCCTCGCCGCCAAACTTCCCGGCCCATCGCCGCGGCCCCGCCGCGCCCGGGGGAGGGTGGGGGACCCCGCCGCCACTTCTCGGGACTTCTCGGCTGGG